ACTCACTCACTCACTCACTCACTCACTCACTCACTCACTCACTCAACTCATTCTCTCTCTTTCTTTTTCACTCCGAGGTTTTGTCAATGTTTTTGTTTGGGATGGATTGCAGACGTCTCCGCGCATTTCTCTGCCCAAACAGGCCATACACTTGCGCGGGCTCCGCGCGTTGAATGATGATGCTCAGGTTGAATGAAGCAGCCATGCACTTCCCGGAAGAGACGGAAAGTGGAAAATATGGCCAATTGGATGACCATTTTCCTCGACCAACCGGTGTCTTTTTTCCTGTTTCGATGATTATTCTGGGGAGTGTAGATATGCACTGAAATTTGTGGCGTTCCGAGGGGATCTGTTTCACGGATCCTAGGTTCCAGCAGCCAGGAAGATGTGCTGCTTGACTTCTGGTTGGACCGTTTGACCATGTTGCGAGCAAAGACCTCCAGCTTGGGGCAAGTTTGGGGTGGCTCCTTTGTAGCCCCCCAACCATTCTTGAAAGTGACCTTTGAATGTTGCAGCTTGTTCGTCTAACATCATGGGAAAGGGATGTAGGGACTAAAGTCTAATTAGTAAAGTGAAAGTGATTTAAAGATCCAGGGGGTTCAGGTGGTGTCCACTGGCCATATTCAGGAACCAGAATCATACAAGACATGTTGATGGGATAGGGGCACTCATACTTGGTGCTTAGTCTATTGCTTATGCCTCAGCTCGGAGCATCCCATCAAGTAACATGGAATTTACCGGTGGAAGACCATTTTCCTTTAGAACCCAGTGTGGTTTGGGGGTTCCCAGTGAGCCAGCTAGACGCACTGCGGATGCTCGGCCCCCTTGCTCGGCTCTGGAGACGCTCACGTACCTCCGTACCTCACGCTCCGAGCATGTGAAACGATTTGCTGTTCAAGAGGAGGCCTCCAGCTGACTGGTGCGACTCGTAGGGAATGAGGGAATGATCCCCCCACAAGGGATACCTTAGGACTCATTCCCTTGTTCCTTACTAAGCGCAAGTCAGCCAGTTTGTGCATGGTTTCATCGCAGAAGATCGGGCTAATCTGGAGGTGCAAAAATCCAAGGCTCACCACGCCTGCAAGGGGGCAGGTAGCAAAGGGACACAGATTGGCACTTTTGAAAAATGAGAGCACTCTTTTAATTGTGTTTTCATGGGGAGCGAGATATCTTTTTAAACCAGCAGGGTGTTTGATCGTCCCTTGAGGGCTTCTTGACAGTTCTTTCGTGGAAGTGACATGATTCTACTGTACGTCGTAGTGATTTAGTATTTTGATTGGGTTGCATGTTTTATATGATCGTTATTTCTGAACCTCCAGGTCTTGGACATGATTCGATAAACTGTTTCCTGCGGCCACGGCCAGGATGTGCCATCAGCTGACCCACCTGCTTGCAGATGGCAAGGTGCGAGGACTTTAGGCTTGCTTGCTGGGGTGCAAATACAGGTGCAGTAGCACGCCGTTGACGATGGACGTCCTCTTCCTTTAATCCATTCCAAGCTAAGCCAGGTGGCGAATCCGACCCCGAAGCCTCCGTGGCCTGGGCTGCGCAAGGCCTGGTCAACTGTAGCTACCAGTGGTTTGTCACATTTTGTGACCACAAGCTGTACTGAGCCGCATATGACATCATATCACCTCAGAATAGATGAACGATGATGAAAGACATGGAAAGTCATGGACACCCCTTGTTTTCTATGATCCATGATCTTTATAAGTCATGGACACCCCTCCTTCTTTACAAGATTTTCCAACCAATGACATCCACTCTCCCTGATGAGTCCACGCTGAGTTCAGGCGGCTGCTCGCATACCTGACCTGAAGCTCTTGAGCCTCCCGGCTTCGGGGCTGAGCCTTCAAGCTGCACGAGCTGTGAACTGTTCAGACGCGTTGTTTTTGTTTTTGTTGATCCTCCCTATCATCTGCAAGTCCCTCATATTCATTGAGCAATCGTCATGTCCCCTGCAATAATGGGTTCAAATTCACTTGTCAAGGTGTGTTCGGGGACCCTCACCAATGGGAAGAGAACTTGTATGCCCTAAACATTTGACCAACAGTTTTGGCCGACCACCTAGTGTTTTCGAACAAGAGTTTATACTTGATGCTGTGCCTTGGGCCAGTGCAGATATATATTGCGGCAAGACTGCCTTTGGACTTAGGAACCAGTTTCAGGAGCAGATACTTGGCAGCTAGGCAGTGCCCCACCCATTTCTAGTGACTACTTTAGTGGGGGCCCTGTCTATCTTCCACTCTGGGGGCTGGTCTCATCCATATAAGGCCCCCGTCAGCCTCGTAGCCGCACTGCGCATCACAGTTCTGTGAGATGCGCCCACCTTTTACAGCCCGGTCGTTTTAACTTAGCTTCAACACTTCTCAAGTTCTAAGAGCTCGAGGACGTTTTGCGGACACAACCCTCCAATCCGGAGCTGGATCGAAGATCGGAATATCCAGAGACCATCCTCAACACGATCTTGTGCTGGACATATCTGGACATGTGTCGGTGATCATTACATATCTACAACCAACTCTTTGCGCTGCGATGGACGTAACGAACTCTTTGCTCGGTCTTCTTGGGACTGACGACAGACATCAATCAAGCTCCGGAAGTGGACGGGTGGTGCACCACCTCTCTGCTTCGATGGGTTGGCCCCAAAATCGGAGCAATGTCGGGTGAGCTGGGCAGACATGAGCAGACAGGAGAGATGCTCTCGGAACGTGTTCCAGCGCAGTCAGGGCGGATTTGTTCGATTGAGGATTCGGTTGGCCATGATAGAAATCAATGGCCCATACTCTTGGAGGACATTGGCATTGCCCGACGCCTTTCTTCAAACAAACAATTCACTTGGACTAGCTGGGGACTAGATTGTCTTGCTTGCAGCAGGAATGAAACCTTAATCAACTTCAGGGTTATATACCCTTTCAAGAAAAAAGGTGCTTGCAAAATCCACGGAACCCTTTGGAAACACCATGGAAGCACCGTTGTCGTCCGCCCTTCAAATCATCTCCCGAACCGCCGTGTGGCTCCAGCCGCGCTTCCCCGGGTGCGGGCGAGGTGCGACCAAGCGGGCGAGGGCGAGGGGTCTGGAGATTGAGTCTTTCAGTTGGGGTCCCATAGGTTAGATTCAAACCTTTGTTGGAGTGTATTCAGTCAGATTCACACCTCATGATGAGTTCCAAGACGTATTCGAAGATATTGGCAGTTTTTTGATGACCTGATCATACAAAGAGACATAAAGGAACCCAGCATCTTGTGAAAGGGGATTCCTGAACCTTGCTCTCATGTCCCTAGCTGAGCTGGTGGTTTGGGGGTGGAGAAGCTTGGAGCCAAGTAGTTGCAGGTTCTCAACCAGGGTGTGTAATAAAATAGGGAGACCTCCCGGTGACCTCCCAGTTGGAAAGTTTGACACCCTGGGGCATCATTGCTCGTCCGGCTGCCAAAGACCAGCCCTATTCAGCCGACACTCTGATGAGTCCAGTCGGAACATAGGCAGAGATGGAACATGACCCCTTAGTTTAACAGCACATAACAAAGAGCAGGTTTACGGTTTATGGTTGATGGTTTATGGTTGATGACCCAATCTACTTTGCATTTGTCAGTTAGTAAGGGAACTCACGCCGGTGACGTTCGTCGGTCTCACCCGGTCCTTGGCCGTGCTGGTTCAGCGAGCGCGCTTCAGCGGGCAGGCCGACGCTCCGCTGATGTCCACGTGGTCCAGGCCAATGAGACACTTTGAGCAGCTGCAAGAGCCAGAAGTTGGAGAAGACATGAGAAGTCAGAAGACAAGAAGTCTGGTAGAACACTTCCTCAGCTGTGAACAGTTCTACTATGTTCTACTTTTTTTGCACATTCCAAGCTTTTTTTTGCATGTAGTGTTCACGTTGCCTGTCTTGTAGTCACCGCTGTCTCTGTGTGATTCTTTTGTGGACGTGCTGTCTGCAGCACCCCTGAATCAGTTCCTTTATTTGGACGTTTGTGGTTTATGTGGGAAGGTACACTATGGCACACTGGGTGTACTCAACACGGCGCACACGAGGCACCGTCCCAAAAGACCGGGGGGCACATGCCCAGGATGTCCTCGGCAAGATTCGGCAAGGAGGAGGAGATGTCTTCAGTGGGGCCTGGGCCCGGCTCAAAGCTTCTGATTTGGGCTCGTGTGGTTTGATCAGATAGTTGGTGAGCAAACGGCCAACAGAATGAAGAACATTTGGAAGAAGACTGTCGCCTCCTTTTGTCGGCGGGAATGGATGCCTTCCCAGTAAAAGTAAGCCCAGTATCTTAGGACTGCCAGCCGGCAACGGCCAAAAGCCCAGGGCCGATGTCCACGGCCTTTTCCCACCGACTGCTGTGCGGCAGGTGAAGGGTGAAGCACTCCGGACCGACCCGCTGTTGCACTCCGGACGTCCCAGGTCCTACGAGATACCCACGACCATGGATGAGCACGCGGTCTCGATCGCCAATGGCGAGCGCTTTGTGGAACGGGTGCGGGACGTTGGCTTGGAGCGCGAGTCGGATTTCTGGGGGAGGACGGGGCAGATGGATTGGTGCAGGCGGATTTTTGGCTGACCTGATGCATGTGTTTGGGGCATGTGGTTTGAGGTTCGAGCAAGCAGATGTCATGGGGCTAAAGATGGAGTTTGTGGAAGGAAGGCTCATTGGAGGTCGCTATGGGCAACTATATAGCTGGAGGTGAGACACGGCAGATGGGCTGGACCATGCGACAGCTTTAGGTTCAGCTCAATGTGTAGTGTAGTTCCGGCTGTCACTGGCTGCCTCGTAGATGGTCCCTTTGAGCCATCCATGTAAGAGGAGATCCCATCTTGCTGGGTAAACAAAAGGTACGCATTGAAACCGGTGAGGGGGATTTTGCTAGTGTTTCCTTTTTGAAATTGACGAAATTGACCCCTGCAATGAGTGAACACGTAAAAGGGTCACTGATCCAGCCATGCATCATCCCCTGTGTTTAAGTTCATGCGGAGGACAACCATGGACAACCCCCCACGAACATTTGCTTTGCTTTTAAATAGCCCCCTCCAATACAGTACAGTTCGATACAGTTCACATGCTGAACGCATCGAGCTGGACCAGGAACGCACTGTTTTTTACTTATACTATATATATATATATGTACACACATATATAGACAATATTTGTACAATATATATTTATATCATATATATACAAACCCAGCGTTCTCAACTGCGATGTTCCTAGTTGGACCACAGCGACAGAAGTCCCAACAGGAATGCTCAGAGAACGGCGCGGGCTTCTATGTCTTCGATGAGCTTAGTGAGAAGAAATCCGTCGGGCCACCCACCTGATCACCTCAGTCCATGAGAAAGATGCGTCCACGGTGGCCCTATGCGGCCATATGCGGCCGAAACTGATGCAGAGATGCCAACTCCCAGCACTCATGACATCTCATGACCCAACTTGGAAGGTGTAGAACAGGTTTTGCCCCCTCTGAAGAGGAGTGGATTGGCCCCTTCAAGGTGGTGTCCATCCTTTTCTGGATGAAATGAGTAGAAGAACCCCCGTAAGTGGTAGTAGTAGGGGTTCAAGAACCTGACAGCATATGTGAAGTATTTGAACACCAGGTTTTGGCCCTACCACATGTTCGGCCATCTGTGGACAAAAGATGAACGCGTTGCCTTTGAGTTGTTGTGTCCTATCAGCTGTGTTTTCCTTGTGAGTAGGAGTCATGATGGAGAGTTTTGGCATCACGGGGTCAATCTTTGTGCTGAAGGAGTGGACAGACTCCCGTGTGCAGGTGACTAACATCACATCAAATCGCTACAATCACACCAGGAAAGACTTGACTAGCTTCTGAGTTTTGCATCCGTTCAACCCACCACGGTAATTCCTTGCTTAGCACACTTGGCAATCGTATCCATTGCATCCATCAGTACGCACTGGGGTCTAGTGTCAACCAGGTGTGGGCTATGTTACCATATATATGTTTAGATTTGATACTTCTTATGCTCCTTTACAAGTCTAAATTGTCCGATCCAATAGAATTGGATGTTTACCTGATTGAAGTACCAATCTATATTATAGTTCCTTTACCTATCTTTACCTTCTCCAATTTTAGGGTGCAAGAAAGATTGTTTCCATCAACTCGTTTTGTTCAAGTCACTGGATGTTCCTTGCGTTTGACAAGAGGTTTTTACGTCCCTGTTTCTTGTTTGAGCAGAAATGGTTGGACTGCACAAGGTTTCATTTGCTTTGTGTTTGACAGGTGTGGGACACCTTGCTTCCAATATGCCTTCATCGGAACATTGAGACTCTCCCGCCGTTTTCGAACATTTATTCCGGTCGCTCCTTGGAATCAACGCACATGCATTGGATGTCCTTGGCTTGTGCCATTTTCAATGGGCTTCTTCCTTGGAATCAATGCCGACCTTGGCACGCCGACTGGTACAGGGACAGAACATGACACAACCTCAAAGCCAGCTAGCACCAAACATCAGTACTGTAATTGTTTAGTCACCCTTCTCGTTTCTGTATAGCTACTCTTGATCATCCCTCTTTTGCTCCAAATAAGTAGCGGAGATTTATTAGGATACGTACCATCCAGCCACTTGCGAAGGACAGAATAGCTCTTATCGTGCCTGGTCCTTGTGCGTTCGAATTGGTCGTAGTGCCTGGTCCACCGCATCCACTGGGGACACAGAAGACTTCCACAGACTTCCTGAGGTCGAAAAAAGGAAGTCACAAGGGAGAGCCCTCTCAGCCGCAGCCGGGAAACACGGTGCTTGAAGGAGGAAGAAGGGGCAGAGGTAGCAGGGAAGGATAGAATTGCATGAAGCTTGAAGGTGGCTTCTCTATATGGGTGTCCACGAAGCTGCACAGCTAACTTGACAGTTTCAGCAATCCAACTACTCTTTGAATCCAACTCCAAGGAACTTCAGCAAGCCATTGGATGCCCTAGCATATCAGCAGGAACTTGGGACTTGTGCTTGAGGAAACTCAGGCTTTGGATTTTCGGATGTTCCTCTACCAACGCATGGCGCGTGGGGCATGACACTAGGTGGATATGGTCCAGCTCCGGTTGTAGTCCATCACCCGAACTGCCTCGTGGGCATGTCACAAACAGAGCACCAGGTGCGAAGCCAGTAGACCTTCCTTCAGCTGCCAGTTGTCACGATTTGGTCCAGGCCAAAGAGAACCGAGCGCCTAGTTCGACACCTCGTCCTGAGAAGAATCTGGCGGAGCGGTTCTACTCGAACGGACGCGGTTCTTCGGAGTGGTGCGCGTGAATGGTAGGCACGGCTGGAAGAAGCAGGGCTGTTGGTGGTATAGGTTCAGCTATCAGGGGAGTTTGTTAAGTCTTGTGAGCCTATACAGCTTTGTGCCTAAGACCAATCCATCTCTAATCGGAATGTCAAGAATATTCGACACATGTTGACTGAAAGTGTTGGGCCGTGCCCCCAAAAAACAAGACAGAAGATCCCAGTTAGTATCCCAGTTCACTTCTGCAATGGGACTGTTCTATACAATGTGTTTTGTTTTCATCAGGATTCTGTGTCCATAGTTGCACTGGGCTGCATCGATCTGAAAAGCTGAAGAGAACATGGCTGGCTTGAGTGGGAAGCAGAGGTAGATGGTGGGGCTTCTGATGCCAGGGCCAATGACATGATGGAAGTTGGATGGATCTTGTTGGATAGTGTTGACTGTTGATGAATCAAACTGCCAGGCCTGGAGAGGTTTGACCATTGCTTGGGGGCTTTCTCCAGCAACAGTCATCAACAGTCATCAGTCTTTAGCAGCGATGATCCCTGGAATCGGAAGTGCATGTTCCAAATGGCAGTCCATTTCGGAGGACGTCCGAGGACCACTTGGCTGTCGGTAGTCCAAACAGTGGTGCCGGGCTCACTTCCATGATGATTTCCGGGAGAAAAATCGGAGAAACATGATCCCTCTGACGGACGTCCATCTCCAGGAGCCGGTGGAGTCCGAACAGCTGCGACGCCGTGGCTTGGTGAGGACTGCGGAGATGGTGGGAGTTTGTGGTGGGACAACAAATGGCGAGGACTGCGGCGAGGTATAAGGAGTCTTGGGATGCCTGAGACATCCTACATTTTAACTTCATTGACCCTTACAGGATTTCGACTCCACTCCAATGTAGTCCAATACTACATGGATTGTTTGGGTATGGTATGGCATCCTATGGCACCTGGGTCTCTATACATGAACCCATTCGCCCCATGGATCGGATCCCGAGATTTGGGGACGAGATGACGGCAGGGGCCGAGGATAAGGGGGGGCTTTGTTGGGCTAGTTAGTTCACATGGTTTTGATGTTTTAAATTCTCTGCTGAGAAAATTCTATGACTTTTCAACATGCTCTGGGCCAAAGATCCGTTGCCTTTCCATTTTGGACTCAAGTTTTGGATCCTATGGGTGACGTTTCCCCAGATGCTGGCCTCTCCATCCCCACCAGGGGGCTTGCCGAGGAACAGGAACAGCCTTCTCAATTCCACCCACCAAGGCTTACTCGAAGAGGAAAAGCGAAGAGCCCAGGCGGAGGCTGAGCATTTTTCGCGTGCATGGCATGTGCCAAGTGTTTGGGCGGATGAACAGACGATGTGTTTAGATTGGGCGAAGCGGGGTGGCTGCCTGTTCGGTCGTCATTCGGCATGAGCAAGCAACGTCAGTTTCTGTTTGTTCTCTGTGTTTGCCACTTAACGTTGAACGCCAGTTCGGTGACCAATTTCTTTGCCACATCAGTTCACAACCTGGGAATCGTTTCACTGGGAATCGTTTCACCTGTAATGTAGTAACACGAAGCTTTTTAGTATGTTTTTGAAGCTTCTTAGTAAAAAGTATACTAGGTTGCAGGCCATATAGATCCATATACGGGTCGTAGTAACAAGAAGCTTTTTTAGAAGGAATTCGGATGAATGATTCAGAATCTAGGGACACTTCGCAGTTCGCAGCCGGCCAGGCACGGGCGTCCGATGTGGTGGTGGCGAGAAAGGTGCCGTAGCTTCGCTTCGACGCCATGGGTCGTTGCTTTGGCCACCTCCATCGGGGTTGCGGTGGCGCGCTCACGTCATGATTGTCCATGGTGGGAACAGACGAAGTTGATCCGAAATGATGCATCTTCAAAGCTCCGTGAAGACTGAAACTGTTTGACTCTGTTTGACCATCACTAAGTCTTTCTCCAGATCTTTCTACAGCAACCCTTGAAACGAGCCTGCGACTCGGCCCGAGCCTGCGCCTGCCTCCTATTGGAACCGTGGGACGCGTGGTAGCCACGCCAACGCCATGGGGAACACCTGCAGTTGCAACAGCCATGCCGACTTCGTACCCATGGGGGCAGTCCCCGGGAGCATCACGAATCGCATGCATCTGAAGAGAGTGCTCGTGCCCCCTGAGCCCGCTTTAGCGCTACCAGCGCAGCATGAAATGAAGGCTGGGGAGCTTACGGGAGAACAGGTGCAACATGTTTGAGCTGAATGATTAATCAGGGCATGCATTCATGAGGGGGGTTATATACTATTTTGTTGCCACTGATTTGCGTTGGTCTATGTAGCGCACAAATGCCGCTCAAGGCAGCATCCAGATTTCAATGTGCTTGCTTTTGCGCCAGAATAACTCTTGATCAGAAACCCTGCATCAACCCCCTGCTGGCCCTTGGACTTGCAACGTCAACACGCATATGAACTGCCTTTCGCATTCCAGGCGACATCTCTCGCAGGCATAGACATATCATGACATATCCTTCATACGCGGACTGCTCTAATAAGACATGCTAAGTGACATGCTGTACTAGGACCCACAAGGGGTGGTTAATGGACACCCCTTAACCTCTAAGGGGCTATCAATAGACACCCCTTGGGGTCCTGGTATAGATATATCGTTACATATGATCATTGTCCGTTGTCCCTTCGGGTCCGTCGGCGATGTCATCAAGAAGATGGGCGATGGAAACGATGCACAGCGGTCTGACAGGAGGTCTTTCCCGCCGCTGCCAGTGCCGGAGCAGAGCTCTTCTGTGACCCCGAGTTCCCGGCGGCAGCGCCATCCATTGGCGGGGTCACAGGGGATGCAGCCAACCCGAACGTGGCCAAGTATTTGGAGGTGGGGGAAGGGTAGTGATTCATGACATGGAGCTCATCGTGTTGATACTCAGAGTATCCAAGAGTGCGAACGGGGAGACAGATGTCAGACCTCTAGGTCCTAAGCGAGCATTTGCATTCACCTACAATTCGTTTATTTGGATCATTTGTGGGCTGTCAGGACGTCCAGAAGTTATGCCATGTTCAAACATGTTCAAACGACACGTTTCATGAGTTTCTATGGTCTTACCCGCCGGCCGAGTTCCTCATCATATCACACCAGGTTTCTCATGGTGTCTCGATTGAATCCGTGTTTCTCGCTCTCCCGTGGCGATCTGTTTTCCAGGAGATGCTGCATTTGGTGGTGCCCGGCTGGGCGCGACCGCGCCAGATGATCGGCAAGGAGGCCACCGAATTGAAGCTCTATGGCACCACGGGTGAGCCATGCCTTTTCAAGCAGCTGCGAATGCACCGCTCGCCTTACCGCTCGGTCCGGGTCTTCGGTCCGGGTGTGGCCGAACGAAGCAACAATATGCATGTCTGGTTTTTGGGGCATATGGGCGTGGGTAGACGGCCAACTGTGTTTCTTGTCGCGGCTGAGCCGGCTGAAAGGCCAGACCCTGAACATGCTGAGGCATGTCTCACCGCGTGACATTCAGCAGGGCTACTTGGGTGATTGCTGGTTGGTCTCCTCCTTCTCTGCACTTGCGGAGTATCCGGACCGCGTGCGATCACTCTTCAAGCAGAAGAGCCTTTCAGCAGATGGACGAGACTGATCTGATTTGGATGAGCTTTCAGATGCTGCTTGCTACTAGCCTCATAGGTTTCCCCCCAAGAAATTCACACCTGACTTGGGCAAAATCAGCTCTGTGCACTTCAGGATATGATATTCGGCTCTATTGCCCGCATGAGGAGGAGTGGAAAGTCATCACGATCGATGACCGCTTGCCGTATTGGCAGCGCCCAGGCCAATATGGAAACCTGTGCTTCGCGAAGCAAAGCACTGAAAATGAGTTCTGGCCTTGCCTCTTGGAGAAGGCAGTGGCCAAGTTGGTCGGAGCCTATTACCGTATCTCATCGTGACATATTGTGACGAGACTGTGAGGTGTTTGAAAAAACCAACGTGTTTAGCGCTCTTACTTTATGTTGTCTTATCTGTTTTCTTATTTGAGGTTGGAATATGTTGGAATGGTGTAAGGATGTGTCTATGGAGTTTCATGGCCCCTCTTGCCAATATATTCATCACATGCTTTCAATTTGTCGCTCACATTTTATGTGCCAGGTATTGATGGTGGGTTTGAGAGCATCGCTTTGGAGATGCTCACGGGGAAGCCGGCGATAAACATTGGCATCAGCGAAGCAGGGACGCATCAGCCTTACGGCATTTTAACCGGCCCAGATGAGAAGCAGGTCACGCACGCGAGTGTTTACCTGCGTAAGACTGGGTTCGACGCTCACTGGGGCTATTGGGGGCAAGATGCCTCAAAGCCACCTGTCATCCAGGAGAAGGTTAATTTTCAGGCTTTCTGTCATTGCTACGCTATCCAGTTTTCTCCAAATTTTGAACAATGCCCATGATGGTCTAGACATGCGTGCTCTTCCTGATGCACCACACAGCAATTTCACCTGATTTTTGGTGACGGAAAGGACCAGACAGTAACCAAGCGTGTTTTACATGGCTTGAACTGACTGTATGATCTTGACTTATGTTACACTGTGTATTTTGCTGCTGGTGGAGCACATGAGAGGCAACAGTTGAAATACCACAAGTGTGCCGGGTTGAACTTGCCTGCCCATGCATGTGGTGAAGCAAAGAATAGGCCACAATAGGCCATGTATTGAATCCATCCAGTGCGGTTTTAACTTGACAAGTTCCCCCCCCCCGAGGCACTGTGTTTCAATGCAAATCTTCCCCCTGAACCCACTGCCACCGCCGCCAAACCGAAGTCTTCGCGACAATCCGATGAGCCAAGACCGAGACCGGGCCGATGCGGCCGTCGTAACTCGCCTCTCCGTTCGCGTGCGGAGCCGACCAGGTTTTGCAACAACAAGACCGACCTGAGTGATGCTGACTTGTGGTCTACCCTGAAGTCCTGGGACAAGGAGGGCTACAGCATTGCGTGTGGTAGCCGCGGGAACTACCAGGCAACGACAGTCAGTGTGGTCAACGAGGTTGCTGTTGGTGGTGTTGGTTCCAGGGTGCTGATGTTTGTAGAGGAACTCATTTTTGAGAGGATTCAGATTCAAGGATTGATGTTACAGGTTCTAGTTGCCTCAAGAACCATCGGCAGGGGATCATCGCGGGGCATGCCTACACTATGCTGCGGACAGTGGAGGTACAGGTGCTGCGTCAAGGGAAGAGCTTGAAATTCCAAATGCTTCACGTGAGGAACCCTCACATGACGAACCTGTACTTTGATAAAAGTTTTCCTAGTTGAGTTGGGGAAGTTGGGGAGTGCTTGTTTTCTTGCTTGCTTGCCCGTTTCAACCGCGCTTGGGGAGCAAGTCACACATGCCCAGGAATGAGTGGAAAGGCAAGTGGTACGATGATGACCGAGAGACCTGGAACAAGTATCCTGAGGTGATGAAAGCATGCGACCACAAGGTGGGTGTGAAAGACAACGGCGTGTTTTGGATGCTGGGATCGGCTTTCGGCAGATTTCCTCTTTGGTGATTTTGAGGAAGAAAAGGTCTTCTTAAGCCATGCAGGTCTTCAGTACGATCCAACAAGGGTCAAGCAACCAAGCAACCTGAGCCCGTGTTTTTTTTCTAGATTCTAGACTTTCGGGATGGCGTCTTCCTGTGGCGGACTCGCACGAAGAACCCCTCAGCTTGCAGGACCCCGAGTATGTCAGGCTACTCACTTGTCCTTGTAACCCTCCTGGACTTTTTGGTTGCTAATGCGAACACCGAATTAGCAACCCCCCGCCCGAAGGATTCTTATTTGGGGAGGATGTCAGAAGGTTGGATGTTTCTTTGATTGGGGGGGTCAATCAGGAGAGGTCACTAAGACTAAATCTCTTCATGAGGAGAGATCACCAAGACATACCAAGACTATATATTATAGGTATATATATCTATCTATTTATCTATCTAAGTCTTTATCAGATATAAGGAGGGATCCACCTCTTCAGGGAGTCCCCAAGATTAGGTAGTTGTTGGATCATGTGTTCCAAGGCATGGGAGATACCAAATTTATTGGGAACCCTAGGAATAGAGTGATTCTGTGGGACCCCCTTCGGGAGCTTCCAAAAATTATGTGCTGGCTATTTCTCAGGGATTTTCTGGGAGTGGCCCATTGGGTTTCTCCTGGGTTTGGTTGGTGCCTATAGCCAAACAAGGATGAGGCCACTAATGGGGAGCACGGGAACCAAGGGTTGGAACAAGATAATATATCGATTGTTTGTGTGTTTTAAAAGTGCTCCCCCAAGAACGGTGGGCCAGCGATAACTGGGAGGCTTTGCGAATCCTGTGTTTGGATTATCTATGTTATAAATGTTAAGGGACATCTAATAAATGTTGGGTGATCTTAAGGTCCACATGTTCACATATATGTTCACCCCACCATTGATCGATCTAGATCCTAGCGAAGCTTGCAGAGCTCAGGATGGAGTGGGCCGATTTCAAGAAGGGCTTTGCGGAGCTGGCCGTCTGTTTCGACAACCAGCAGGAGGGGCCGCGCTACACCGACCAGTCAGAACAGGCACAAGAAGACCACGCACACGTCAGCTTTGGTCGAACCGGCCACCAGCGATGGGAGGGTTTGTAGTGAATCCACCCGTCCTGGCCTGTTGCTAAGCAGCAGCTGGCAGTTTTTGTTTGTTAGGGTTTATTTGCGTGAGAAGGTTGGTTTCTTTTTGGGCGACATTGGCAGCATATATTGCATATGATATGTTTTCTAATAAAAAGATACATGGCCTGCCCGTGCAGTCCTGCATGATCCTGGCCTGCGCAAGCGCACACATTTGTCCACCTTAAGAAGTCGCATGATGCAACCTCCTTGTGTAGATGATGCACATATGAAGGACCTATTGTGTGTAGAACTATAGAGCCGGTCATGTGCCCAATTTGGATGTTGTGCCCCTTGGGGTCAACCATGCTGATGTGTACATGTTTTTTTGGCTGCTCATTGATGTTTGGTGCACCTCCGGTGAAGAGATTTAATTACTTGAAGTATTGAGTCCTCAATCAAAGTGCTTTTGGCTCAGGTGAGCCACAGCGCGCTGCGTCACCAAAAGGTGCTGCGGTGAGTGTGAGGATGCAGCATGGGCGAAATGCTGTGGAAATGCAACTGCCTGGGGCTGTGAATGCACCAGATGGCGAAGAGGTTCAGCTGGCATCGAAGTATTTCTGACCGGGGTTCCAAGGGGTGGTGATTGGAGAGTAGGGGGTGGCCTATTATCCACTCACTAACCACCCACCCTTGTGGAGCTCCTGCTGGTGAGTTTATGTGAGCTTGACATTACATGCCCGCCAGAGGGAGAGAGAGATTGAAGTTATTGTGTATCTCACTGCTAGTAATCAAAGCATACACAAATCAAAGCAATCACAATAGGTATAGGTCCTGTCCAGATTCCAGACCTCTGGCGGACAAGAAATTGCATTCTTTCCAAAAGATATGACTATGTTCTAGTTTTTTGCGGAAGTGATATGAAGTGCTCACACACCCAACGAACTATTGATCACAAGCGTCACAAGCGGCCAAAGCTGCCACCCGAAGAGGTTGAAGCAGCAGTTTTACATCCACAACCAAGCATCTCTGAGCCTAGTTTGATGTCCTAAAACCTGGGACTTCGAAGCTGATGAAAATGTGCGTTTCTCCACTGCACATTTGAGGTCATTTCGCGAGGATCCAGGTTCTGACAAGCATCAGGTGGAACTGGTGTTGCTATTGTATAGAACCCAATATCTACCGACTGTGTCAGTGACAACTGTTCAAACAATGCGCAGAGCCATGCGTACATGTCAGTACTGTGGCCATAGGGCTACAGGCAGGGGTGTTGCCCAAGTTAATTTTCATAATGACATGACTGAGTCTCCATCCTCATGTGCCCGGAAGCGGGTGGCTGGCTGGAAGCGGGTCGGTCTAGGCACCTGGAGACATCCATTGTCGCCTGGGAGCGTCGGGAACCGCTGTACTACCTGGCGAGAACCGACCAAACCCATTGGTTGCAGAGTGATTTTCAGAAACCAAACCACCAACCCAAACCGAACCAATTCCATGAGTTCCGCTGATGTCTTGGGTTTTGCATGGTTTTGCTGATTGTCTTTTCGAGTCGCGGAGCTCTTCCGTGCTGCCTTCGGATTCGCGAACTCGCAGGCGGCGGCCAACGCGCACGCCGCTGGGCAAAGCTTTTGCCGTCGAAACGGTTTGGATGTTAAGTTGTTTTTCTTTGAATTTGAGTATGTTTAAAAATTGTTTAAAGATGTGCAAAGGAATACCGGTCGGCTCGGTGTTGGGCGGTTTGGGAAACCACCCTTTTTGTCCGACCTCGCTGATGGAAGTTCAGTTTTTGGGCATTCAAGAAGTCACGTTTCTGAAATGAACATTACTCAGCAGTATTCGTTCATATGCTATTGAGAAGCACTGCCTTGGTTTCCTTACAAACAAGCGTCAGTCTTAGTGACTCCAACAAGGCCCAGCTTCAAAGCAGAGACAAGAAGATCGAGCAGCTGCAGAAGGATGCGGGGACAAGATTCATCGCTCTGAAAAGATCTGGGTATCTTCTCACAGCCAATCCCACGCCAACCGGGCGGATTCCCGGGAAAGGGAGCCATGACCGAGCTGCTCAGAGAGTTTCTTGCTTGAGCCGGATCTGCTACGTACCCTTTCAGGTCCACTGCACTGGACCCTAAAAATTGGGCCCCGCAACACAAAACACACGGGTTTCATTTGTTTCCCATTCGGCTATGGCATGGCGGAAGGCATGTTTTACACACCAGGGATATGGTGCAGCCAAAGTCACTTGGGTAGGACCGGGTACTGGTAGGACCTGAATATACAACCCCGGAAGATCAGACCCATCTACGCCTCCATACAGATACCTATATATATATAGCATAGATGTCATTTGCATAGATCATAGATCTGACGAGGGATGTCAGAGGTTGTTCCTTTCCGTGTCATGGGTTTGTTTGCGACGCGAGTGCCCTTAAATCCTTTAGATACCTCGTGATACCTCTAATTACGTATCTTTAAGTGAATCATAAACGAGCCGGGCAGTGATCAGCGACCAAGCAGGTTGGACCCATCCTATCCTTAACATGAACCATGACCATTATTTGGGGAGTTGTAACTCGAGGGATGTTTAACCTTGCTGTCTATGCAAGTGTTCTTGGCAGCCGGCACATTTTTCCCTACTGTCTCCCCTCCTTTGGCGGACCACTTTGGCAAACGGCAGGAGTTGGAGGACACCACTGTGGCACGAAAGGAGGCGCGCGCAAAGGCGCCGCGTAAAGGCGCTCCGCCGGGGCCTTCTCAATGCCTTCCCTGACCACCGGGGCCCCGTTCGTGCGCGATGCCGATCCAAAGAGCACCTGGGAAGGAGCACAAGCGTGCCTGTGATGCCGAAGCCGACCGAGGAAGATTGAAGAAGGTGCGCCTCCGGAGGTTGTTTACATGCATCCGTTGTGAAGCGTTTTCCATGTGTTTTTCCCTGAGTTGTGTCACAAATTTGTCTTCTTTGTGCCTGCCATTTTGGACCTGTCTTGGAACACCAACTGCAGACCCGGTGGGCACGACACTCTGCGACCGCAGTTCGTGCATCGGGCTCCCCCGCCGCGCTCCATCGGACCATGGCCGCGGCGCCGGGCTTTGCCGTTGCCGACGACGGGCGGGGCGTCTATGTGGGAGGTCTTCCCAAACATGCGGAGTGGCAAGAGTTGAAGGATCATATGAAGCCGCTTGGGAAAAAGCGAAGAAGGGATTTTCAGTTGATTCATACCATACATCCCCATGTTTGTGATTCAATAAAGGTTTTGTCAGAAGAGCTGAGTGGGCAAAGGAAACCCTGCAGTGCGTAAGGTTGCGGGAGCCTTGTTGTGCTGCGTCATGATTTGACTTGAGCAATAACAAGTTTTGTGATTGACATTTGATGTGAGCCAATGTGAGCCCTTGGCTAGAGTTTTGTAATGTTTACTGGTGTTTGTTGTGCGTTAATGGGCCCTGTATAGGGGCTTCTCTTGGGGAACGTTCCATAAGAGACTATGGCGTTTACAGTGTCGATGTGTTCCGAATAGAATTTGGTATCTTTGAGTTGGCTTTATCCTTTTGATCCCTCAAAGCTAAGACCTTGCAACTGCCGGTGCAAAATTCCAAGGCCATAGGGACCTGACAAGAGTCGAGGGGCTCAATGCATATTGGCACGTAAGGCGTGCACACACACAAACCGAACTTGGTTTTCAGTTAGAATCAATTGCCACGATGGGAAGGAAGGCGAGGGAAGGGAAAGGCGAATGGGTCCGGTGATTTGAAGTGTTAAACATTGTTTCACTCACTCTGCTGAACAACGTTGCACATCAGCGGACGATCGGTGGCTCAGCTGCTGGGGAAGAGTAGGTTTGTGGGAAGTATCATGAACCACCA